CGGACTCGACCTCTTCCCATAGTAAACTCTCTCGTTCCTCATACTAATCCCCGCCCGGACCAGTTGGGAATCCCCCACGTCCGGGACGATATGGAGACGGCTGACCCTACTGGCCAGCACGTCGCTGAGACCGTACGCTGAAGCGAATAGGCTGGCACCGTAAGGTGCCCAGTCGTACTCTGTCACAACGGTATTATCACCATCCGGCTCATACGGGGAGCCGTCGACACGAATCCCGCCCTTCAGTAAAAATATGGGAATTCCGTTGGTGATTCGGTCGCCCTCCATGCCCGCAGACGGTCTCTTCCAGAAATGATGACGACACCGAACTCAGAGAAGCCCCGTGCCCACCATCGCCCCTCGCCGAACTCCCACCCGACGACTCAGAAAAAGAATCAATATGGACAACGGTCATTTATTACCTGAGGGAAAAAGAATATCGAAGTTGAAAGTGAAAACGAAGAAGGTGAAGTGAAAAATGACAGCGACTCCTCTCCCTATTTATAGAACAATTTTGGTAACCATCAAGCGCATCTGCACCATCGAAAGCCAGCACGATCAACGCTCCAGATTCGAAGCCGTTTCAACTTCCGCCACTGCAGATGCGGCACGTATTTCCCGCCAAAAATCCAAATCCAAAAGCCCATGAAGTTCGGCCCAATGCCAGTCCGCTGATCCTCCCCGCACGCTCAAAGTCCTACGTACACTGCATATACTAGGGCTTGGGGGGCTTGTGTACCAGTAGGGACCGGACGCCAGATAGGCCGGACGTCCACAATGTACCAAACACGCTACCCTTCTACTTATCATCTAGAAGGGTTGGGCGCGCCAAGTCGGACGCCCGTACGTCCGCGATCACGCAACCTTGTCGTTCGTCATCCGAGTAAACAGCAATGAGGTCGGCCGGTCATACCGCTTGCTAACCATGCTGCCTATAGGGATTGGCTGGCCGAAAGGCCAAACTTTGGGAGACCGGCCGGCCATGCTACTAATTAACCAGGTTTAAGGTAAGTTGAGGTTAAAAGCTATTGGGCTGAATTTGGGTCGTGATTAACTTTACACTAATCCCAAGCCCATAGCGAAAACTATAAATACAGATCCAAGGTGAGTGGTAGATAGGTTGCATTTACTACATATTTATTACTGTTCGATAGAGAAAGCCATTGCTCTCAAACTGACTTTGGCATCGGAGAATCTTTCGTAGGTCTCCCACCCGTGCACTGAGAAGGAAATTGAGGAGCGAGGACGGAGGACCGGACATACGGAGTACGAGCAGAGAAGGACGTGGAGACATTGGACGACACAACCCTTCACATCCGAAACAAAAACAAATATGAAATTATAAATAAGATATTATCAAATATGGAAAATAATCCAAAATATGTTCATTATTCAAATCTAAACATTTCCAAAAAAAAGAAAATTCTTATAAGTTGATCCCATTATAAAATTTATTACAATAATAACATTATAAAATTCTTCAATCATAGAAAAATGTATTCTCCAAATTTAAATTTTATTCCATGCAATGTCATCTACTATATTTTGAGATTTTTGGAAAAAAATATTTAGCCTTATTTTGTTTGAAAAAATAATAATATATTTAATTAATACAAATGAAAATATAAAAGATGGATGTTATGTGACCAATGAAAATAAGTTGGAGGAAATATAACTGGTAAGCACCAAATATCCCAATGTAAGACCTTTAATATATTTAGTATTGATTTTATCCAAAAAAAATCTTCTTTTTGTTTTTAATTATATTTTACTTATTGTGGATTATGTACCTAAATTGGTGAAAGTAAAAGTTACTTAAACTAGCAGTGTTAAAATTTGTAAACTTCGTAAGTGAGCCATCATTAGTAGCAAGACATTACTGTGATGTTTTAATTAATAAATGTGAGATTTTTCATATAATTTTTACAACTAAGATTTTTTTAAAAGAACTCTGCAGTTTAATAAGAGATATTGAATAATAAGTTAGATGATGCTCTTTGATCACATAGGATAACTTTCAGAAAAACATATTTGAAGTTTCATTGTAAAGTTATTTTTGGTGAAGGTTATTATTTACTTTGAGATAGATCATATAATACATTGGGTTGTTATAGTATATAATTTATCATATGATGAAGCTTGGGAGAATAGGCTTGTACAAAGTGGTATGGAAAAAAAATCTATTAGTGGAAGTATATGATGATGAAGGATATGAGATGTGAAGAGTGGTATGGAAATGCATCTTGAAGGAGGTTGAGCCAACAATCAAGAGAAAAAGGTTAAGAGAAGTCAACTAAAAGACAATCATAATAAACTTAAAGAAAAGGAGATTGCAGATTTTAGCATAGATTTTTTTCATTAATTTCAAGTTAAGTTTACAAAAGGTGGTCACTCCTATTTATAGGATAGAGGAGTGAATTCATTTGAAGATGAAAACATTTAAGTTTGATCACATCCTACTCGAGAGGACAGTCCAAAAGGCTTAAAACTAGCATACTTGAAGTTTCTGATGGAAATGATCGATTATCCAATGCCATAATAAATATTCAAAATAATTGTTCCCTCTTTCAAAATACTTGAAGCACTTAACACCTCTTGTTCTAGTTTCTTTAGATTTTTCTTTTAAAGTAATAGGACCTACTTTACAAAAATGTTTTTGTTCACATTGAATTGTTTGTAACTTGTTAGGAAACAACAACTCAAAGTGTGATTTTTCAAAAGTTATTAAGGAGTTAAAAATAATGGGGAGTGGAAGTGGAAGTGGAGTTAAAAGATTTTCAAAAGTAAAGGTTGAAATCAAGAAATGTGAATTATTGTTGACATGAGAAGAGTTAAAAGATTAGAGAACCCCTTTTAAAACTCTTAACTCAATTATGACTGGGGAATGAGAGGTTTCTTGAGTAGCACTTCTTTAAGTAGGATTTCTTCCTTCTCCTTTTCTCTCCTCTCAATCTCTTCTTTTCCCTTCTTTTGTCGCTCATCCTTTTCTCTTATCTCATTTTCTTCTTTCTCTTTCTTTTCTCTCTCCTCCCTTTCTCTTATAACTTCCTCCTCTCTAACTCCTTTAGCTTCTTCAACTCTAGCTTTTATTTCCTCTCTTCGAACTTCTTCAACTCTAGCGCTTAAAATTTTCTCTTCCCTAACTTTTAGAGGTTCTTTTGAAATACACATGTAAACATTAGAGGAGTGGTGAATAGTGTTTATTAAAACTTTTCGCAAAATTCATCTGATGAATTTTCAAAAGATTAACAAATAAGAATATGTTCGGACAATAACGTTAAGAAAAAGTTTTATAAAAGCTTTTGAACAACAAAGACAATAAAACATGAATTAAGGTACATCCAATTCTTTCTTAGAAACTCTTAAAAGCTTTCACTAATCTTAACCTACTCCTTATTACAAGTATTATTTCCTTGATCAATCCTAGTTAGTTTAAGTATTGAATAATGTTTGTTTATAAATAAATTTAGGATTCAAAGTATTGAATAGCAAGTTTTATCATTTATTTTTCATTTTTGCACTTTTTTCATGTTTATTTCAGTGCTTTTACTCTTGTTAGTATTGTTTTTAGTTTAGAAATCCTTTGTTTAATTTTTTTATTGTTATAGAAACCTATTTCTATTGCATTTTATGCACACCTTTTGTTTAGAAATTTAGATTGTTTACGTTATTTTTGGTGCTTAAGTGAGACATGTCCACTGAAAAGCTAAGCTGGAACAAGATGACATAATCAAGAAAGAAAAAACTATCACTCTTAAAGCTCAGCACTCCAAATTGACACCCACCAAGGCACCCAAGATGGAAAACCTTTTTAGATTAAAAAGAAGTTGATAAAACTTCTCTTTGCAAACACTAACCAAATTCCCTTCTCTTGCAAGTTAGTGGCCATAATTGTTTATATGCGTGAGAAGTGAGGACCATTGCGACACAACTAATATTGTTTCTCATTATGAGATTCTAGGATTTGATTTTATTGGTTATCTGATTATGTTAGGTAAAAGTTTGATGGAAGTGCGCTGTCAAATATATTGTATTACTCTTTTTTTTTTCCTGTAGCACTTGCTTGTCATTATTAATTAGAGTTGAATTCATCATGAATCTAATTTAATAGATTAGGTTCTTCGAATTCAGCTGCTACCATATCATATTAGTTTCATTCATTGATGAGATCCAAAATCTTTTATCCACACATTTTGTGTATCAGGTTATTTGACTAGCAGAATAGATAAAATCAAATTACTTTCATTTTCTTAAGCCAACTTTGTTCCTTAATAGCCGAATAATTAACACTATAACATGTTCTGAACTGATTGTTATTACTGTTATTTGGGCTACACGGCAGTTTGTTGGCATGTCTTGAAACTTATTCCAAGCAATTATGTTGAAAAACAGTTGTTGGATTAATGTTATTTTATACTGTTGGATTAGATGCATGATTGCATTTACGTGAGTTGCCACAAAATAACACCCACTCTTGTATTTAAGGTGGGACAAGTTCATGAAAATTAAAATAAAGATGGCTCATAAAAGCATTTGATTTCCCTTGAGCTTATGTGGTGTACGTAAACATGTAAGTGATTTTCAATCATTGAAAAGCCAATGTTAACCTTTACAGTTGCAGAATATGCATATTTCCCAATACTGAAAACTTCTTCAGGAGAGGGACAGAGTTAAAGGGTAAAAAGAAAAAAAAAATGTCAATTCGAGCAAAGTGACGTAGATCACACACTAACTGATAAGGCATTTCAATGTTACGTGATAAATGGTTCCATCAAACAATTAAAATTCAAAAAGAAATTTCTAAGATTATCAAACTTTTCCCATAAACATTTTCAAGTTATACAACTACACATTTTACAATTTAGAAAATATTATTTTTAGAACAGCCAACAAAGTAATCTAATGACGATGAAAAATTCTCAATACCCAACATTATCTAAATGACAGATATAACAAACAGAACCGAGTTGAAAAAAACAAGCAAACAAAGCATACAGGAATTATAAAAAAAAATGGCATATAATTGTAGCCGAATCCAAACAATTATTCCAGAATAATAGATACAAAATGTAACAAAATTGGAAAAAATGAAAGTGAAGAGAAGTAGGTATGGGGAATTATGTGAATTAACCGAAAAACTCTTGTACGAAGGGATCATGGCAGCTATTAAAGAAAAAAAAAAAGACTCTAAATGATGCAGTTGCAAACCAAAATCCTTAGATGCCGCTATCTATAAGTAAATGCCGTTGTCACTCAATTCCCAACAAAATGAAGTACTTCACTGAACTTTCACTGGTTGACGAGTGACTTTTCCTCCATTCTGATAACTCCTTGCCACAACTTCTCCATTGCTACGCCCACCACCATTGTTTCCTCCTCTAGGCCTGCCAGTGAACTCACCCCGCTTCTCAAAATTATCATTCCTATTTCCATAGCCACCACGGCCACCACCACCACCACCGAAGTTTCCACGGCCCCTGAAGTTATCATTTCTGTCATTCCGGTATCCACCCCTTCCTGATGAATATCTCCCCCTATCACTGTTAGCTGCAACAAACAAGAATACACATGACATAATAACCATCACTGTTAGCTGCAACAAACAAAAATACACATTTCACAGAACAAAGGGTCCGGAGCACAGTGAGCTTGTGACATGTCTGCAATATCACACAAGAACTTTTTGCAAGAATCTATATCCCTAGAAACTTTACGAACACTTTTATTTTATGGAATATAAATTCATTTATTTTATGGAATCTAAAGGTGGAAAGCAAGTAACTGGAACAGCATGCTTAAGAGCATAAATCAATAAGACATTGCAGTCGTGGCAAATAATAAACTAGATCGATAAACTATTTAAAAACGTTTGAATTTGACATGAAATGTTAGGCTGGCTTGCCTCTTCGTTCTTCAATTGAAAGCCTTCGGTTGTCCAAGGTGACAGGAGGTGAAGCCTGAAATAATACACAGAAATAAATAAAACAGGATAACCATAAACATGCAAAATTAGGCTAAAAAACAAAATCAGATAACACGCTTTTGTAGAAAAAGCACCCAAAACAACCCAAGGATTAGTAGCAAAGAACTAATATCAAATTCTTATAGCAATAGGTTAATAGGATCCAACACACAATACAGGAAGAAAAACTACAACTTGAAACCCTCAATTTTCCTCCTAGCATGTTAAACCCCGATAACCCATCAATTGCAGATGTTCTCCATAGATATATTCTCTACTTCACTATAATTAAAAGAAAAAAGCTCATGAAATCAACTGTAAAATACTTACAATAAATAATGTTTTTGCCAAAGAACAAAGACAACTGCAGAATGTCAAGGGACATTCAAAAAGAAAATGAACTTGGAATCATGTTACAACACCTTCATATGGGCAAAGGCTAAGCATATAATTACAGAAGGCAACATTATCATCAAGAAACTCATTTTCATCAAATCCAAATCTAAAGAGGGAGATTTCAAGTATGTTTCCGTACCTCAAGTGCACCTTGCATTGAAGTAGCAGATTCGAACTCCACAAACCCAAAACAAGATCCCTGTTGCTGGAAAGAAGGGCAAAATATTGTATCATCGCTTGGGAAGTAACTGAAAGTACAATGCTTGTAACAGACTAACCTTACTACTTCTAACTTGAATTCCATCCCTTTTAATGGGCCCAAATTTCTTGAAAACACGTTCCAGTTGTTCTACTGTGGCATTCATGGGCAAATTTGCAACAAATATTGCATAAGCCTTGCCTGTGAAACATAGATTTTGAAAGTTATATAGCATCTGGATCAACTATAATCACAAACTCAGTTCATAATTAACCAATCTAGTCACAGAATAGGAACTACCTCCATTCTCATTGTTCTTTTCGGTTGGACTCTCAACACTAGGAGTTGGTGCTTCCGATGCAGGTATGCTGAGAACACGTGGCTGTTCTACAGCTTTCACAGGGGAAGCCCTCATATGGAAGGGAGCAGCATTTTCTTTCAGTGCATTCACCTAAGATTAATAAATGCAAATATTATCAGACACCACAAAAAGTACAATGAAAGCACAAAAATAATTAAAATTTACTATTGTTGGCATAAAGGAAATACGGTCAGACACTATGAAAAGTACATTGATGGCATAAAAACAAATAATTAAAACTTACTATTGATGCAAAAGACTTCTTTGGAGTATCCTCCTGTGAGTTACTAGAAGCAGCTTTCTCAGCATGTGAATGATGTTCCAGGTGACTGGATTCTTTAACATGATTGACAGGAACAATCTTTTCAGGAACTGATAATTTTCCATTCTCCAGTGGCTGGCTGACATCTTTGCTGACACTAATGTCATCATCAACAACAGTAGTTTGGCTATCTGGAACATCTTCGGCAGCTTGAATGACCTCTATTCACAATCAAAATTAAAAAAAAAAAATATTAAATCGTGTAACACGCAAAAAGTAAAATGTTAGAAGAAGGAAATGAAAACTACAGGACTACGAGGTATATTTAACCAGAAGTTGTAAACAGAAGATCTACCAGGCTCAGGGGTAAAAGAATCTGTTGGAGCACTTTCATCAGCATCATTCACAGGCACAGACTCAATATCAACTGACTTATACTCATCAATATATCTGAAAATATCATTCAAAACAAAGTAGCCTTTGTCCTGCGGAGCTAGGAAAAAGGACTGAGTAAACTTCCTTTTCAGATTGTCACTTCCAGTTAAGCAGCCAGTCACTACAACTATTACCCCATCCTTGTGTGAAGATTGGGCATCAGCACTCAGAATTTCTACCCTAAAGCTTGTGTAATCCTGAGAGAGTATCTTTTTATTGATTTCCTGTAGCATAGAAGAGTAAGATCATTTGAATCAGTGAATTTTAAATCATTTGTACAATACATATTAGTCAAGGAAATAAAATACACAAGATTTGAGCATGTGTTCCCAATAAACTCAGATAAACATGAGCATTGGTACTAAAAAAAGGAATTTCCAGCATGGATCAATTAACACGGGACACGTGATTTCAAATACTTCAAAGAATGTTACATACTCCTTTGGTCTTTTACAGGAAAAGCTGTAAAATTAGAGCTTAGGCAAAGGGTGGTAGTAGGGGAAACTCCCGAATTTTTCCTGCTGACTATGCATGTTATTAATTAATAATATACAACAAACTTCAAAAAAATGGCACAACACTTCTCATGAAATGCACATAACCCAAAGTGATTTCCATATATTTTAGATTGATTTGTGTTTATACAAGTAACCACATTTTGAAAAGAAAAAGCAAATGGCTAGTTCACCAATAATAGTTTGGTAAATGATAAATTAAAGGAGTAGTTTAAAACAAACCACATTAAGCCCGTGCTAAATCTGCACTTACATAACTCCACATGCCCTTGCAATAACTAACACTCCATCACTTGTACTTACCACAGTAGTGGTCACCATTGTCATGGAACCGTCTTCTTCAGGACGACTCAGGACACTAGACTCGTGATAAAATCTGTGAACTTGGTCTGGCTCCTGATGCAGTATAGAATAATACTGCTCAACAAAAGCATTCCCAACCATCTGAGGGGTTGGTGATCCATCCGACACTGCCATCTCTACAACATGACAACACAAGATTAGTCTTGAAGGCAAATACACGACTATTCCGGAAAACCATAGTAAAGAAAAAGAAAACAAATAATCATTCAAAGAATAAACGCAATCAACCACAACCCTCATTAATAAAACCAACGCCAACACAACACCTTCAATCTTAACAAGTAACATATATACAAAACACACGAGCCACAGCCAACGACCATTCCAAAACATTCAATCATGTATTTTTAAATTAAAAAAACAACTACAATAATATTAATAGCATCTAAAAGAGACTAACACACACGATTTTTATTTAAACCTTTTCCATTTACAAACCCTAAATCATAAACAGACCAGGCTAACAACCAAACCCTAATCAACCATCAGGATACACTAAAAACGTATAATAACTAAAACCTAACGACGGAGATAGAAAGAAAGAAAAGGAACTGAGAGATTAATCACTGAGATAAGGTAAAAATGGATCAGAGAAGAATACGAAAATCGATAGTGAAACTATCTTAGGAAAACGTATACAATAATTTAAAAGGAAAATGGAAGGAAAGAAAAGAAGAGGTACCTCCGAGGGAGCGATGAATGGCTCAGAGAAGATGGTTTGGTTAGAGTGGAGGCGGTTGAGTTGAGTGAGATCTCTGTCGAAGGCGAACGTGAAAAAATTGAATATATATATAGGCGAACTTTTCTATGTTGTTTCTTGTTCATGGGAATAAAGCTTTGTTCCCTTTGTTCTGGTTCGGTTCTTTAGATGAACCAAAAACCCGGTTTATTTATTCACACATGTGCTTTTATCGGACCAAGCCCAACGTTTTTGGTTTCAAACTTCTTTTCTTATTCTCTTGTCCCTTATTCCATGCTAGCGTGTTAAACTGTCCTGTTTCAATTCAACGTGGGACCTTTCAAGAAATTGCACCATTACTAATATTCACGGATATATTTCATTTTAAATTTTGAATTCATCAATTTAAATTTTAAACGCTACTTTAATTATTATTAACCTTATTTGATTGAATTTTTCATTGTATGTTCACTAATTGTTGTGTAAGAGATTGTCGGATTTAAACAAAAATCTATTTTGATCTAGAATTGTGTATAATCTAAGAAATATTTATAATTATTAAATAAACTGTGTAAAAATATGTGAAAATGTATAAATGTGACTTCATGAATTAAATTAGCATAATATAGATATGAGCATAATAACGACTGTTAAATGAAGGATAATTATTAATTAAATTATTGAAAATGAATAACATATAAAGAAAATATAAGCAATAAGTGTATAAAATTTAACATGAAAAAACGTTTACGGTGTTAGAAAGTATATTGTTGTAATGAATTAACATTTTATTGCATTCTTGTTTTCCTTTTATTTCGTGAATTTCGACCCTGATTGTTTTCGGCGAATTTATCTCAGTTTGTAAAAACAGATTAATTAACACTTTTAATAAAATTTATAAATAAGAACTTATATTTTGAAAATAAAATTAAATGGGAAGACATGAACTATATATATATACACACTAGTGGGAACACATGAACTATATGTCCACTTTTATCTTATGACTAAAAACAATTATTTATATTCTTTATTTATTATAGTTGTTGAATGTAATTTGCTTATATCTAATATCAATTAAGATCTCAATAATTAAGGATTTGTTATTATAATGATTTTGAAATACTGGGAAGATATATTATTATTTTGTTATTGGTATAAAATTAATGAAAATACGAATTAGATATACTTCTTTGTATATCCATTATCTTCGAGACTTAACCATGATTTATTTTGTAAATTTTTTAGTGGTTAATTTTCAACAAATATTTTGAATATGTAAAAACTTTCATATAGTTATATAAAAGTTTTAGATGTACCAAATATATAAAATATATTTAAATTTTAAAACAACACTTTAAAATTATACATATATAATTAATTGTTGGTCAAGTTTCCTTTTTCTTCTTTTAAGATTGTTATACAATAAAACTTCTCAAAATTTACAAGAATCTCAAAAGTAACAACAAACATGAGTAATAAATAAACTCAGGATAATAAAAGAAGAAAATAGAGGAAAAATGAAAAGAAGATGAATTAGTGAAGTAAATTTCCGGATGAGGAATAAAGAACTATTTATAAGGAAGGGAGTTGTGGTCATCAACTAAATAGCCCTCTAATTACACAGAAATCTCATAATATGAAAAATAGGAGCTTGTGAAAGAAGAACCGCATGTTGCGTTTAAAGATTTGCAACAAATAATAATTGACATATAACATGGAGCATTTGCATATGAAGCGTTCCACCTAGAAACACAAGAGAATTAACTTCATATTTATGTGTTGATCATTTGCAAAGAAAAACTCAACACGGTAGTTGTATATGATTGCCACTTTTTTAATATTGTATTTCAACAACAATCCTCCACTTGCAAAAGATAAGAAAAGAATGAATGAAAAAAATGAGGTGACTAAAGTTCACCTATGCCAAAAAATATTCATGTCAGTGTTGTATTTATCACGATAGCACTAAAACAACTAATGGACTAACTTTTGAAACGTACGAAGAAGTTTGTTATGCTTTGGGATTATTGACAAGTGATAAAGAATTTATTGATGCAATTTAAGAAACAAGTGAGTTTGCATATAGAAATAAACTTGCAAGATTATTTATTACTTTGTTAATAATGAATATAATGTCTAAACCAAATGTAGTTTGGAATGTTGCTTGAAAGTTACTATTTGATGGAATTTTATACCAAAAGAGAAAAAACTTCAACTTGCTTGAATATTATGCATAATCATATTTCTATGTTGCTCATATTGTTACAAGTTTATATCATTCAATACTCATTGTTTTTTAGGTCTTCAAATTCGGGATAATGAATTAAAAAAACCTTTGCCTTTTGCAAATTGAAGGATTCTTGATGTCAAATGGCAGGGTTTTTGAAAGATTGTGCTTGCTTATCTCATATTGAACTTGGATTCAATTTTATTTGAAATTAAATTATTGTTGATGAGTTAAACTATAATAAAGAAGAGATGACTAAGGAGAATGAAACTCTTTTAAAATTACTCACTCGGGAACAACTACGTGTGTATGAGACACATCATGGCATTGACAACTACTATAAGTAGGAGAATAATTATTTTAAACGTAGCTTTAAGTGGGATTATCATTTACTACTTCTCGATGGAAAATCAACACTATCTACATTTTGCATACCAACCTTGATAAATGAGAAATCAACTTACAATATCACTCAAGGTAGTCTTTGTACTAAATTGTTAATATAAACCAAATTGATTATTTGGGATAAAGCATCCATGATGAATAAACTATGATTTGAAGCATTTGATAGAACATCGAGAACCATTATGAAAAATGTTGATGATGCAAACAAAGAAAAACCATTTAATGGTGGAGATTTTTAGCAAATTTAGTTTGTGGTTAAAAAATAATCTACTTGTGCAATCAACAATAAACTATTTTGAGTTATAGAAACATTCAAAAGTTTTCTAATATATATTTCATCATTATATCACGAATTAATGTTAATTATTATATATACATTATTGTTTCAATACAACTTTCATCTCTGTGTCAATTGTTTACTTACATATTAAATAAATTATGGTTATGTATAATTGGTTTTGATTTTAAAATTCAGTTTTTGTGCAACTTAATTGCAGCCTTTTGTAGCAAATAACTATGTTTCCTTGACTGGAGGTTTATAATACTCAAATCGGAAGAAAGTTTGGATTGTTATTTAAAGTGCAAAGAATCAAAAAGTAATTACAAAATTATAGTTACATATTTGTATTATTTTTTAATTTGTATGATTAGAAAACAACAATTTGTATTTTATGTTACTATAATCCATATTCTTTAATATATATTATATTGTCTCTTTTTGGTATTTATTATTTTACCCTTTATTTTAATTTAATCTCATACATATTTTATGCAATAAATATATATATATATATATATATATATATATATATATATATATATATTATTAAAAATAATCCCGTGATTGCACGGTAAAGTACTATTTTAATATACATTTTAATTATTTAAGTGGAGGTTGTGATACACAAAATAATATTATTGTTTAATTTGTTAATTTTGTCTATTACTACTTGTACTAGTCCATGAGGTTCGTTTGTTATTTTAAGAAAAAATGGCTTAATAAAACATACTCACATATGTTCTTTTTCTCTATTCTTTCATCTTTTAACAAAAAATGCATTAGTTATCAAATCTAATGTTTACTTTATAATTAGATAGTAAAGTTTTTATTTATAACCACGTCATTTTTATTACAATTATAAATCTAAACTTTAAATATATTAATAATCATTTTATATTTTACTATTTTATAAATAAATAAAATAAATTATGAAAATATGTGTATGAAAGTACGCATAATTTCATATTATATTTTGAACTTTTATAACTTAGACATCTTTAGTTTCTAAATTATAGTACTTCTTATATTTACGAAGGTAGTGTCCAAAAATGAGGGTGTTATGAGTTGTTATAAAAATCGATCGTTTCAAAATTTTCTCATAACATGAAAATATATTTATCAAAAACTTCAATATTTATATTTGCAAAAATAATTCAAAGTCATATGAGTTTCAAAAGCAATGTTCAAATTTCATTATTCACGAATTAAAATATTAAAAGAATAAAAATAATTTTGAATTATATTATTTCAAAAGTCTAAAAAACTTTTAAAGAAAACTCAATTTTTTTTCTGTCATCTCGCGAATCTATCATACATATGAAACATGCAACACTATATACTCACATATAATACATCATACAATTATAGTCGATAATTTCAATTACAAACACAAACACAAACAAGTATGAGGTAAACTACACATAAAACAAGTCATAACAATATAAAACATGATTAACAAATAATAGTATATCACATCAAGAAGCAACCCCATCTTATTCACTAACAACACAATGAATCAATGATTCCATCGCCAATGCAAATCAGCAGCGATCCTTTGATCCTTTATTTCATCACGAACATCACACACATAGACCAACAATTTATCCATTCATCATCACCTATGCTAACAACATCACAATCATAGCCTAATCAATAACAACGTAGCATCCTTTAGAGCATTATCTTCATCATGATCATTAATACATGTACCTCCATTATGAATATCCCCATTATAAGCATCACTATGAGCATCCACACCATGATCTCCATCATGAAAGAATCAGTCACACACTTGTACCCTACCTCACCACACTTGTAGTTTTCCCATACAGGCTTGCTCAAGTCGTCTCACCTTTCGGCTAAAGGACATGCTTCCCTATCACACATGGAGCAGGAAAAACATCATTCCCCCATATAAAGAAGGTTTAACACTCGAACACCACTCCTTTTTCCCACACAAGGCCAAAGAGAGTCGTTATACCATATTGCATGGTAGATAATCTTAGGATTTACTAGGTACAACAAGCAAACACGTCATTCACATCTCATGCTTATTGATCAACCACATACCTTTGTGCATCCCATCACATATCCATGTTCCAATGTCAACTAAGAGTCCAATCTAACCCCAACCATGTCACACAACTCCATTCCCTTTTCAATATCACGGTTTGCAGCCCTTGAAGCTTGTCCCTCCTCTATTCCTCTAAAAAATGCACTTTTCTAGCAAAAATTCA